TACATCTACTAACATATTTAGTTACATCTACTAACATATTTAGTTACATCTACTAGCATATTTAGTTACATCTACTAACATATTTAGTAGGGGTGCACCGATTTCAATTTTCAGGCCGATCACCGATCACCGATTTTTTGAAAGTCTGAACTGCCGATACCGATTTTTTTTTATAAGCAACAGTGTCAGGTATTACAAGATCACAATGCACCTTCAATTTACCAATCTTATTCTACTGTAAAACATACCCTTGAAAAATACCCTAGAAACAATACAAACTTGTTGTTTTAACTTGTCACGAGGTAGTATTCTGAAATATAAATGAAGTTTACACAATTTTTGTTAAAACTATAAAATTAACCAAAAAAAAAATGTTCAGTTCCTTCAACTCTTTCACTTGTTACATTTAAAAAAAACAAAACTTAAAAAGATAATGCAACAAGTGTAACATTTTCAAGTCAGTGGGTAATAAGAAATAACACTGGCACAGGTAAGTTAGTTCTCACAGACTTATTCCAGTCACTTTCATTAGTGGCAGGTTTTTCTTGATGAACAAAAGCATTTCTGCTTTGTCACCAGACAGGCGACTTCTTTTCTCATCTACTACATGTCCAGCCAAGCTAAACAGGCGCTCGCTTTCAACGCTTGTGCGTGGGGCAGAGAGATAGGTTCGGGCAAGTAGAGCAAGATGAGGGAAACGATTTTCATTGATCCTCCAGTAGACCAATGGGTCCTGGCTCCTTTGGACAGGAACCTCAGATAGGTAGTTCTGTACCTGCATAGCTGAAGGGCTGGCCAGCTGTTGCTCCTGTTCAATGTTCTCCTTCAAGATTTCGTCGTGAGCTGCAAACAGTAGACTACGCCTTTTGGCTGCAGGTTCATCTATATCAGGAGGTCCCACTTCAGAGGATGTTCCTGCAGCAGGTGTGCATCTGGTCTCCCCCTCTGCAAGTTTGGTCAAAAGGAGCAGTTTCACGTCATCTTTCACCTCTGCTGAGAAGTAGCGATTCTTGTACCTTGTTTTGCATAAACAAAGAAAGATGGGTCAATCATTGTGTTTTGTATACATTAACAGTTTTTATGACTTGCATGTAAATAAAGAAATGCATTTCAATCAAGAAATTTTTATTTTTAATTTAATTTAAATGTTTGTTGAAATATAGTAGTAGGCTAAAAGTAATTATGGCTAAAATAGAATGTTAATAGTTACTTGCCTTGGATCCCGAACAGTGGCCAAGCTGTACAGGGGCTCATGCTCAATGTTGCTGAATCTTCTCACAACAGCCTCCAGCAACGTAGCTTTGGCTGTACCCACGCCACGGTCTGTGCTCGCTTGCCTCTCCAAAATCCGCTTGAGTGCAGTGATGGCTGGGATGACATCTGCTGCTGTAGCTGTTGATGAGCTAATCTCCTTTGTGAGTTCCTCAAAAGGTGCAAGAATGGTGAGCACATTGTCCAGTAGCTCCCACTGGTGTGCTGTGAGTGTGGCTGGTAACTCATGCTCAGCAGCATACACGCCAATAGCACGTCTCTGCTCCAACAGCGACTGCAGCATGTAGACTGTGCTGTTCCACCTCGTTGAAACGTCTTGCTGTAATCGTTTCCTGGGTTGACCTAACTGTGTCTGTATGTCATAAAGTCGGGAATAGGCGAGTGATGAATGCTTAAAATGTCCAACAGTTCTCCTTCCTGTTGCCACCATGTCTGTGATGCTGCGCTGCGCCAGCTGTCCCTCATTTACAACCAGTTGCAGTGTGTGTGCCAGGCAGGGTAAACTTTTCAGGTTGATATCATCCAGCGCTTTGGCCATATTACGAGCATTATCCCGTAAAACAACGTGAACTCTTCCATTATCGATTTCCCAGTGATTCAGCATCGCCTTAAACTCTGCTGATAAATTGGCCGCAGTGTGAGACCCCGCCATTTCTTTACAGTTTAAGAGTACTTGATGACGTTCGAACTGTTCGTCAATCCACTGTGCAGTAAAACTTAACATGGACATTAAACTTACATCAGAAGTCCAGATGTCTGTTGTAAAGCTGAGTGTATTTGTATTAGCTTTTAGCAGGCTGCGGGTGTCTCTCGAAACTTGGCTGAACAACTCCGGTAATGCAACATCAGAAAAATATTTCCGACTCGGCATATTATATCGTGGGCACACGTGCTGCATCAAGCTTCTAAAACCTTTGTCCTCAACGACTGAAAATGGCTGGTCGTCTAATGCCATGAACTCCATCACTTTCCTCGTGGTAGCTTTGCTCTTTTCGTTGCTCATAAAAGCTAACAGCGACCCACCGACTGGCTCTTTGTTAGCGCTAGCTTTAGCATTAGCCTTAGCTTGGTTGCTCTCTTCAAACATTGCATACTTGGCGGCGTGGTGATTTCTTAAACGGCGAACGAGGTTTGTTGTAGTAGAGGTTTTGGTGGTGGCTCCACCACGACTTACTTTGGCTTTACACGAATTGCAAATTGCGATCTTTGGCTCATTTTCTTTTACAGCGTAGAACTTCCAAACCGATGACATGGCTGCTCCGAATGACCTGTGTGTGAGCTCTCACAGCAGAGCAAAAGGGGACAGCAGCTGATTTTCAGACCTTTCCGGAGGCAGATACGATCGGTGGATAAAATCGGCTTCTCATTTAAAGATCGGCCGATCGCCGATCTCCCCAAATTAAGGAAATCGGAGCCGATCGATCGGCCGGCCGATTTATCGGTGCACCCCTAATATTTAGTTACATCTACTAACATATTTAGTTACATCTACTAACATATTTAGTTACATCTACTA